AGGAAGGAAGGAAGGAAGGAAGGAAGGAAGGAAGGAAGGAAGGAAGGGGATTGTTGGCTGCTTGGTGCTCTCTGAGCTGGCTTGTTTTCTTGCAGACGTTTCATTCCCCAACTAGGTAACATCATCAGTGCTAGAAGAGAATTGGAATTATAAAGAAGAGGGTGCCACTCCATTTCTTTAAAAAAAACTTTCTTTCCTTTTCCTTTGCCCTTCCTCTTCCTCTCCTTCCCCTTCCCCTGCTCTTCCCATCTCTTTCTCTCTCTTTCCTTCCTTCTTTGCCCAGGTCTCCCTCTCCTTCCTTCTCCTCTTCCTCCTCCTGCTTTCTTTCCTCTTTCCTCTCCCTCCCATTCCATCTCTCTCTCCGCCCCTTCCTTCTTTCCTTCCTTCCTTCCTTCCTTCCTTCCTTCCTTCCTTCCTTCCTTCCTTCCTTTCCATCCTTCCTTCCCTTCCTTTCCTTCCTTCCCCCCTTCCTTTCCTTTCCTTTCCCTTCCTTCCTTCCTTCCTTCCTTCACCCCTTCCCTTCCTTCCCTTCCTTCCTTCGCCCCTTCCCTTCCTTCCTTCCTTCCTTCCTTCCTTCCTTCCTTCCTTCCTTCCCTTGACCTTCCCTCTCCTACTGCTAATATCTTGAGAAATACCGTTATTTTAAACCTGGGGCCTCATTTTCCAGCTTACATCTCTTTTACTGTCCCCAGAGGTGACCAAACCAACCAGCCATCAAGATGACTGACTCCAAGTATTTCACCACCACCAAAAAAGGTAACCGGGGGGGCAGGGGGGCGCACCTGGGATTGGCTGGGTGTGGTCCTGGTCCAGGTAGACCCAAGGTTGCATTCGCAGAGAACACCCAAGTTTAGGATGAAACAGGGCAAGGGTTGCTTTGGCTCACTTTATGTATTAAATTAAATTTATTTTGCCGACAATCTCGTTCCGAAACCAAAGAATCCAAATAGAACCATGGCCTGTGAATCCCAGCAGGGGCGATTCACTTAAGGACCGGCGAGAAAGATCGTAAACTTGGCCAAAACTTACTTTGAAAATGGTCTTGCTTTAAGCAGCGGAAATGAAGCATTTGACCGCTGGGCGATTCGCAGAGAAAATTATTCCGTTTTTGATTGTTTGGCTTCGTAACGAGATGGCCGGTTCAATCCATTCAGGGCTCGACTTGTGGCCGTTAAGCCGAGGACTCCGCTGTATTTGCAAATCCAAATTCTTTTCCAGGGGAAATATTTGAGCTGAAGGCTGAACTGAACAGCGACAAGAAGGAGAAGAAAAAGGAGGCTGTGAAGAAAGTGATTGCCTCCATGACGGTTGGGAAGGATGTCAGGTAAGGGTGGAAGGATGAGAGAGCATCCGGCTAGGCTCTGTCTGTCTGTCCGTCCGTCCATTTTATTTATTTATATCCCCCCCGGTATTATTTTTATAAATAACTCAAGGCAGCCAACATGCAAGACTCTTTCCTTCTCCTGTTTTCCCCATCCCCAACAATCCTGTGAGGTGGGTTGAGCTGAGAGAGGGATTGGCCAGAATCACTCAGTCGGCGTTCATGCCTCAGGCAGGACTAGAACTCACCGTCTCCTGGTGTTTGTCCCAAAGTCACCCAGCTGGCTTTCATATCTCAGGCTGGACTAGAACTCACCATCTCCTGGTGATTAGCCCAAAGTTATCAGCTGGCTTTCATGCCTCAAGTGAGACTAGAACTCACCGTCACCTGGTGATTGGCCCCAAATCGCCCAATTAGCATTCATGCCTCAGGTGAGACTAGAACTCGCCATATCCTGTCCTCCAGCCTGGCGCCTCCATCACCAGATTCCAAACTGGCTCTTGATATATTTAATTTCAACACACCAGAAGCTCCATTTTGTCAGGACGAAGATTGCTTTTTGAGCTCAGTTTAATTTTTTTTCTGGAACGGAGGCACAGAGGGGGGTTGGGGGCAGAACCGCTACCTGCCATGGATTCCCACCTTGGCAGAGAAACTGGTCTCGCTTAGCGGCGGGAACGTTGGGCTCCGTTGCTGTCGTAAGTCGAGGACTCCCTGCGTTGTTCTCCGGGACGAGAAGGATCCTTTAAGGCACCTTCCGTTTTCTCCTCCCAGCGCTCTTTTCCCGGATGTGGTGAACTGCATGCAGACAGACAACCTGGAGCTGAAGAAGCTGGTCTACCTGTACCTGATGAACTATGCCAAGAGTCAGCCAGACATGGCCATCATGGCAGTCAACACCTTTGTTAAGGTGAGTGTGGCTGCGCCTTCTGGGTGAGCGATGCGGTAGAGAAGCCGGGCGAGATGCTTCCAAACGGCTTTTGGAAAGCTAGCGGAGGGAGCTGACAACATCACCGAACTTGCCCCTAAACTTCTGTCTTTGGGGTGCAATCCATGTGTTCTGACCCAAACCTTGTTTGTTCTGACCCAAACCTTGTTCCAAGGAAACCAACACGAAACGGAGGTCACAGCAAAAACCTTTTAATGATTCTTTACCAATTCCGTTCCTTCCCGGTTAAAAGGCTGTTTCAAACTAATTGTCTCTGATAAGAACAAGCCTGGCCGAGGTGGTGCAAGGCTGCCAAGAGCACTAAATAAAGTTACCAAGAAATATTTCAAACACAAAAGAGTCTCCAAACACCAACAAAGATATTCCGAATGTCTACAAGGCTTGAGTGCAAAAACTTCTTTGCTTCCTGCAAAGTACTCTGGTTTCTCGGCTGTCTTTTATCTCTTAAAGGAGGGGCCATTACCTTGCAGCCTTACTCTCGAGTCGCCCGTGCTGCTGCAGCTGCTCTTTCCTTCAAGCAGCCCTGGGCACAGGCTCCTCGGGGGCCTCTTCCTCACTGCTGCCAGCCTCCACAATCTCCGTAGGCAGCACTCCACTCCCTGATGGTCCTGGCCCCATCCCTGCCTCACACGCAGGCCCCTCATCTGAGTCCTCGCTCTCCGAGACCTCAGCCCTCCTCACCTGCTGCTGGAGAACCACAACACCATGCTAGATCCCTCTTTATACGCTGTGTTCATGATACTTGTTCACGATTCAGATTCGGTGAATCCGCACTTATGAACGGAGGCGAATGTACGTGTCCCAGGATAATTGGAGGTTCCAGTTTGGATCTGTAATTGAGAACAGAGGTTTGCTCTTGCGAGCTTTTGGACTCATGCCGGAAACCATCCTCAGGAAACTCCTGTCTAGCAGAGTGTGTGCTGTTCACCGTGTGTCGTATTTATAATGCCAATTGTATGTAGTTCTCCAGATTTTGATTGGGGTGTGTTGATGGCTGGCTTTTTAAGTCATTGGCTGTCGTTTGCTTGTGCTGTTGCGCCTTCGCCTTCTTAGTACCTATCAAGTACTCCTTAGTATCAATCAGCTCTCCTTTTGACTGACAAGGGGCCTGGTTCCAGGCTTCAATCACTTCCCTGGCTGTTTTTGTTCCTGCTCATCCAACAGTCTTAGTTGCTGGCTGTTTTTAAGCCTGTTCATCCAACAATCTTGGTAGCTGGCTGTTTTTGTTCTTGCTCGTCCAACAATCTTAATAGCCGGCTGTTTTTATGCCTGCTCATCCAACAATCTTAATAGCTGAGCAGGTTGCCCAATGCCCAACATGCGGTCAGTTGACTGGAGGAGATGCCAGCCGTCAGAACTGGGTTAGAAGTATCTTTTGCATTGGGGATCCACCAAAAGTTCCCACCCATTTTTAAGCAACTGTTTGTAGTCTTTTTGAGTTCTTTCACTCCAAATTAAGAACCTTGCCGCTAGCCGAACAGCCTCTTGAAACTGGCGGGCCACCTGTACAGCTTCTCTCATTTCCACCAGGACTGCGAAGATCCGAACCCCCTCATCCGAGCCCTGGCCGTCCGCACGATGGGCTGCATTCGTGTTGACAAGATCACTGAGTACCTTTGCGAGCCGTTGCGGAAGTGCCTGAAGGACGAGGACCCCTACGTGCGCAAGACGGCCGCCGTCTGCGTGGCGAAGCTGCACGACATCAATGCCCAGCTGGTGGAGGACCAAGGCTTCCTGGATACTCTGAAAGACCTCATTTCAGACTCCAACCCAATGGTGACTAGCTTTTTGGGGTGGTGGGGAGTGGAGATGCCCTTTCCAGTAAGGTACTAAACTCTTTGGCTAGGGGCCTGCATTGTAATGGGCGGTGAGAAGGTCCTTGGGAGAGGGGAGGAGAGGAGAGGAGGGAGGAGAGAGGGGAGGAAGGAGGGGAGAGGACAAGAAAAGGCCCCCACTCTATCCCTCCGACAGGGTCAAGAGGCAATTCCTAGATTGTGCGTGTGTGTGCGTGCGTGCTCAGAAGGCTGTTGTGAATAAACAAAACAGGTTGTGTTCCTGGGGACGCTTTCCTTTCCCGGAAGCACCTCCGGCAGTTTTCTTGTGGCATCCTTGGGTCTTAGCTGCACTAAGACCAGCCACATAACGGAGTGTCCTCTTGCAAGAATCGGGGGTGTTCCGTGTTCCAGATGGTTCTCTTTTGTTTAGGTGGTTGCCAATGCAGTCGCCGCCCTCTCTGAGATAGCCGAATCCCACCCCAGCAGCAACCTGCTTGACTTGAACCCGCAGTCCATCAACAAGCTTCTGACCGCTCTGAACGAATGCACCGAATGGGGCCAGATCTTCATCTTGGACTGCCTGGCTAACTACATGCCCAAAGATGACCGTGAAGCTCAGAGGTAAGATGCTGCAGCTTGGCTCGCTTGGTCGAGCGCATGACGGCGTCAGCTTCGGGAGCCATGTTGAGACCAGATGCTCCCACGTTGCCATATTTTGAGCCCGGAAAAGTGAGAGGGGAGAATTTCTTTGGAGTGGATCTGGTTAGATACAACAACATCTTTTTTTTTCTCACTCAAGGTCAGGTTGTGTGGTGCATAAGTGAGAAGAAGTCTCAGGTTGGGACGGATGGGGATTGGGCCATGCGATGATGGGCGCCGGGGATGGATGTGTAGTTTTAACTTATTGCAAGGAAGCCCGGAACTTTCAGATTCAGGATTCCCTAGTTGTGTCAGTTACTATCCAAATAAAAAGTAACCTTTGAGTTCCTCGGAGTTATTGGGCGGAGTGGAGAGTTACTGGAACGCTGACAGACCGATGATCATACAAAGGGCCTAAATCCTTGTTTTGCGTGCAACAATTGGAGCTCTTAAAATTCACACCTTTTTAATCACCGACGGTAATCGAGGAGAGGGCTAGAGGAGGAGCTAGCGGTACAAGAAGTAAGCAGGGTAATTGTGCGTGAGATCAGCTTCAGATTGGGCCTTGGCCCCGCCCGCTCTTCGGGGTTGCTCCACCCACTTTGGGGAAAGCTGCTTCACACCGGCCTCTCTTTGAACTCCTGTTACCCACTTGCCGATGGCTAAACCCACCTCGCAGGGTTGTTGGAGCGGGGAACTGAGGAGGCAGGAGGGTTAGGTGTCAGTCCTGTTATCAGGGTTCCACCGATCGCCCGAATTAAATCATGTTTTCACCCCTCCTACACTGGGTGTATCATAAATCAGATTCTCCAACACATTTAAGGGCTGGGTGTCATCAGTCACATTCCCCAATGAAGGATTTGGGGTGTCCTCAATCACATTCCCC